GGAGGTGTGCTTCTAATAGAGAAAATACAATACATGTACTTCTATTGGAGGTGTGCTTCTAATACAGGAAATACAATACATGTACTTCTATTGGAGGTGTGCTTCTAATAGAGAAAATACAATACATGTACTTCTATTGGAGAAAATACAATATGTGTACTTCTATTGGAGGTGTGCTTCTAATAGAGAAAATACAATACATGTACTTCTATTGGAGGTGTGCTTCTAATAGATAAAATACAGTACATGTACTTCTATTGGAGGTGTGCTTCTAATAGAGAAAATACAATACATGTACTACTATTGGAGGTGTGCTTCTAATAGATAGAATACAGTACATGTACTTCTATTGGAGGTGTGTTTCTAATAGAGAAAATACAATACATGTACTTCTATTGGAGGTGTGCTTCTAATAGAGAAAATACAATACATGTACTTGTATTGGATGTGTGCTTCTAATAGAGAAAATACAATACATGTACTTCTATTGGAGGTGTGCTTCTAATAGATAAAATACAATACATGTACTTCTATTGGATGTGTGCTTCTAATAGAGAAAATACAATACATGTACTTCTATTGGAGGTGTGCTTCTAATAGATAGAATACAGTACATGTACTTCTATTGGAGGTGTGCTTCTAATAGATAAAATACAATACATGTACTTCTATTGGATGTGTGCTTCTAATACAGGAAATACAATACATGTACTTCTATTGGAGGTGTGCTTCTAATAGAGAAAATACAATACATGTACTTCTATTGGAGGTGTGCTTCTAATAGATAAAATACAATATGTGTACTTCTATTGGAGGTGTGCTTCTAATAGAGAAAATACAATACATGTACTTCTATTGGAGGTGTGCTTCTAATAGATAAAATACAGTACATGTGCTTCTATTGGAGGTGTGCTTCTAACAGAGAAAATACAATACATGTACTACTCCGCTGTTGACTTTGTCGAGCGGAGCTTATCATATGAGTGATTGTCCTCCGTCGTCCGTCGTTGTCCATGTCAATGTTTTACTTTTTAGCTCCGCTGTCGACTTTGTCAAGCGGAGCTTATCATATGAGTGATTGTCCTCCG